GTGGCTGACCGGTAAACTGCCCCTCCGTGTTTATTTGCTGGAGTGGCCTCTCCAGGGGCGGGTGTGGATAGAAGGGAGGAAGGAAGCCAGGGGGTGCCCAAGCAGCTGGCTTGTAAGACAGCGTCGTCTGGCCTCTACCCGTTGACCTCCTGGGCATGATTAGATCTAGGGCTGTGAAAAGCCATCTTGTGTAGCTCGTAGGGTCATGGAGGCACTCAAGCCATCACACCACGTCAAGGTGCAGTCTCGTCGTGATGGCAAGTTGTCTGATATGTTGTGGTGATGCTATTGCACTGCTGAGTCAAGATCTAATTTACAAGCTTTCCTGGCTAGTTTGTGAGTTCGCGTTGCTATGCTCGGCGTGCGTTTTACACTGCTGTGGCGGGACTGGTTTGCCCCAGCTCTTAATCCCACTAAATGGTAGGCAAAAGCGACAGTAGACAGGTTTGGCTATTTGTGCCTATTATTAAAGTCATCCATAGCAGATCAGTTACTCCTTTTCAGCATACACTCTGCTGACGAGTCCCGAACAGGAAGAAACAGCTGTCCAGTGCTCTTTGTTGGCTGTCACAAACATTTCAATGGCATGTAAATGCGTAAGATTGTGTAGAAATAACGATCTCCAAAGGAGTGAAACCCATACCCAAGAACATCAAAAGTACCTGGTGCCTCAACGATCGAATGGGCTCATCCAAGCTTGATACTCTGAATACCTGTGTATTCTATAAATCTCCTGCATACGTAGACTTTTTTCTCTGATAAAACAGATTGTTTCTCTATTTTTTTTACTGCATAATGTGAGTTACAGTAAAAGGAGAAGTCCCCATAGACATAGCATGCTGTAAGATGGAGATTAGGAGAACATTCACATAAGATGGGGCTCATTGATTCTGCGTTTAAAGAGTATGGGGTTGTAAGTTAGGGGAAAACAGAATGGGAGGGTGTTCCACAACTTGCCAGTTCGGAGGAAAATCAAGATTGGAGCCGAAAAGTACAAAATCTGAAAACTGAAATCTGGTAAGAGTTACTGGATGCATATGTTTGACAGGTGGAAGTTGCAGGGAGAGCAACTACCAAGGCAATTTCCGAAGAACAAAATACAAAGTAGTAGCGAAAGAGCAAGGACAGTGAAGCAACTGCCTGAAGATGGGCTAGTGACTGCAAACCGGATGTTAAGAGGGATCATCGATTAGCCGACTGACCTTTCGTTAAACAATCAATAGGAGAAAGAGAAGACTAAGCCCCACCCCACACGTGACTACAGTGTTCAAGTGGTGGTGACTCAGTGGTTTAGTCGCTATCACCGGCGTGCTTTGGACCCTATTGTCCGAGGTTGGAGCCCCGCCACCGCCACCCGACTTTGGTGATAAGCAGCTCTGCTGTCGTCCGGT